GCAGCATTTTTTTTAGAAATGGATTTTTACACCAACTTTTCTTTTTAAAGGTAACCTAATTCCTGCATGACCAAACCACTGTCATTGGTCAGTATATAAAATTTTAATTTCTACATAACCAAAACAATCTATTCAGATCTATTTACTATTTCATAAGTATTTAAGTTTTTATGAAGCCAGTAGAACCAATAAGCGTTTTATTATCTGGCAGGATACCCCTACACAAAACCACACCTTACTGATAATGACAGTCAGCTGAAAGTGAAACACTCTTAACTCCAATACAATGGCATATACTTTTGGTCTACAGCCAAAACAGAAGCGTCTTTCAAAACAAAACAAAAAACACGACGCTGTGCCCTTCATTTTAGACGCATTCTTCCCCTGGCTTTCCTCATCAGACACTATCAGGAAGTTGAGATCGAACAGTAAAAAGATCTCGCTAGATTGCAGTGGCCATGTGTCAGTCTCCAGCCCTTCCTGTTTACCACCGGCCACCATCTCAGATACAGCAGCTCTGGTGTGTTTCTCAGGTGCAGATGAACAGATCTCTAAAAATCCCAAATACGACATCCAGCCCTCATTTCTGCTAAATATACTTAGCTACAAAACTATTATTGTTCAACAAATCTCTTATGGAGCACACAGCTGGTCTTCAGGCTTGTCCTTGGCGTGGCATGAAATTCAGAGAGACATGCCCGTTGCAACTCACTTGAGAGGTGCCAAGTGGCTTAGCTGGTTGCCTAATAGACACTCAACATGGTACGCCAGGATTCGACAACACCCGGCACATACTGACATGACATATTGGGATATTATTGGTTGTAGGACCAAAATCCAAGCATTTGCAAGTGTTTTATTATGTACTATGATTATACTTGGTGGTTTCTTGTGACACCAAGTTGGTCCCACCCAATTTATTTACAAAAAGCCACTCAAGTCATCCTTCAGACAAAACAACTTAAGCCACCACACCCATGCAGACCAACCTTGAACTACACCTCTGCTCCACCATGAGAAACGGCTCAAGAATTTCAGCAGGATTGTGATATCATGCATAATCACAGTTGACAAACAGTGGACGGTCAGTTACAAGTCCAAAGTCTCAGAATTGAAACAACTTGCATTTCATGAGCAACACAGATGCTAAATTCATCTCAGGTCAGTTTGTGGACTTTCAGTGGGTTCAAACATAAGAGCAATATTAACCAGAACAGAACATAATTACAAAACAATTACGCACTTACTTGGGTAATTGACGCAACATACTTGTTACTCATGCAATTTGCCAATTACACAATACAGTGGTTGTTTATGCTCAAGGCTGCATTCATTTGATCAAAAATACAGTAATATTGTGAAACATCATTACAATTTAAAACAACCGTTTTCTGTTTTAATATTTTTAAACTGCAATTTATTCTTCTGATGCAAATCTGAATTTTCTGCGTCATTCAGTGCTACGTGATCCTTCAGAAATCATTCTAATACGCTGATTCGCTTTTGAAATCTTTTCTGGATTCTTTGTTCAATAGCATTTATTTGAAATAGAAATCCTTTGTGACATTATACATGTATTTACTGTCACTTTTGATCAATTACATGCATCCTTACTACAAATAATTCTTTAACAAAAAAACTTACCCCAAACCTTTGAATGTGTATAGGCTATATATTGTAATGCATACCACTTATGACATCACATTCTGATATTATACATATCAACTGCAGGACAACTAGCCTAAACTAGCGAAACTTTGAACTCTGCCCTTGGCCTCAACCTCTGAACTGACGACTTATATGTTACTAGTCACAAATGTAACACCAGGAACCATGCCAAATTTTTTAACTGTTACTGGGATGGAACCTATGACCACAATAAGCAGAATAACTCTTTATCGTTAACCCTTTTAAACCCACTGAAATGTCTAAATACAGGGCTCACTGTAAATGAAAGTTCAGACTGTGTCTTGGTTTCACATGAACACTTTTACATGGCTGCTGTAAATATCACATGACCCGGAAGAATGTAAAACATGTCATAATAGAGATACCACCATCATAATTGGTGCACATAATATTTAAAGTGTCTTTTTTTTTTTTACATTATTATGATGTAAACGTATAAGTCATGATGTAAACACATACAACTGTAACCAGTGGGAAACCCAGAGACTCATTTTGATGAAGTAACTGATTGATTCACATTAAAATATTACATATTTCAATGGATTGTTAAATGAAATAAAGTGAAAGTTAAATTGCCTTAGAGTAAAATTTTTTTATTTTACTTTATTGTTTAACTTTCTTGGGTCTTACTGACCAACTAAGCAATTTCAACTCTGTGGTTTCCTACTAATTACAATTGTGAGCAGGTATTAAACACATGTTCATAACTAATAAACTTTAAAAAAAAGAATTGTGTTTCACTGGACTGTTCAAGTGCTAAAATAAATGTGACCACGAATTTGGGTGAATATAAGACGAAATGGGTCAATTTAACTACCCACAACCCTGAAACTGTTAACATTTCTATGCATTACTCCAATACAACCCAATGCCCATAAAACACAATTATCTGTCAGATGATCTAAAGACAGAATCCAACATTTCCTAACTTCTTGTGTTTAAAAAGGAGTTTGCGCTTAGTAAAGCTCAGTGGCAACAAACCAACTCTTAAATAAATAAAGCCCGGTGAGTTTAATGCTGAGGAAGCAAAACTAGTTAGCTAACCCGGCTAACATCAGCTAATGCTGACTAACTCATCAACTCCAATTAGCAGGCGAGCTAAATGACTAGTTTATTTTCCCCAAACTGAAAACAATTGACAAGTTTCTTCTCTAAAGTTAATTATTACATCGCACTGTATCGGTATCGAAAGAGTTAGTTGGAACCTGTCAAATCTATTTGATGAAACGGATGGTTAAGTTTGTAAATCCTCTGTTTAACTCAACAGTCCAGTTGCTAGCTAAGCTAATGTGAAGTCAAAACACTCTGAAAACGTCCAGTTATCACTCAATCTCTCTTTGTAGGAACTTACTGACCAGATGAAACGCTTACTGGTCTTCCGAGGGCCCTCCACGCGTGTAGTTGTTGTTATTTACCCGAGTATTTTTGGTGTAAAACTATCCCGGGGACCCCCCTCTGTCTATCTGCCCTGCCCGCTGCCGCTCCGGTCGCCAAATAAAGATCCTTCCTCGCTGCCTACACATGGACCCGAGTCACCGAACCGCGCATGCGCACTGAGCACTGGCCCACATCAAGAGGAGATTTACATGAGGAAGAGCATCCTCCTAACGATTTAATTTCACAAATATTTACTATGGAAACCATAGTTTCAGACTAAATACAATAGTTACCATAGGTAATGTTGCTACTGTCCTTTAAAATACCTCACACTGTACATTTTTGTAAAGGGAAAGATGTCAATATAATTTTTGGTTATTAATGGTAATGGTCAGGCAACACAAAATGTTAATTTATTTCATGGGCTATTAAATTACAAAAAAAAAAATTAATGACTATAAAATTGTAAAATCAAAGAGAACGATTAAATAACTGGATTATTTCAATTAAAGAGAGCCAAATTACTCAAAATGAAATCATTAAAAATGCAGAAATATTTAAATAAATTGTTACATACAAATTTAAATTATTGAAAGAAAAAAAAACACACACACACGCATACAAATCGTTCAATTAATAAAATACAGCTTAAATGTCAATTGTACCATCATTTCCTCTTCTGGATTTTAAGTTACTTACCTGATCAAATACAGGTTGCAAAAAACATTTGCAGAAAATTTACATTCATTTTACATTATCCCAAAAAAAAAAAACGTCATTTTGAAAAGATTTTATTTCGTATGAATATAAATATTGTCATTTAAAATGACCAATTACCATGGCAAGACACTCATTTTACGTTTTGCATCTCTACCCAACTTACCAAACTCAGGGAAATCAAAGCTGCTGCTACATTTCCAGTACAGTAGTGGCAAAAGTTTTAAAGTAATGTACAGTGATTTACATATTTGAATCTTAAACAAAATTCTAGAACGCTCCAACATAATCTGGTCAATTTTACCCGACTTCATCCTATAAATTGCCAACTATTATTATCTTGTTTTATTGATGTCTCTCTCTTTCAAAACTGCGGGGCTAAAAGTTATATTACACCAGGGGGCGCTCTATGGCTCATAAATGTGAATTCTCTATTGCGTTTCAATCAAGGGAGCATGTGTATACTAAATAGTATAATCTTTTAAATATATTCAATTTCAAATACTAGTAGCCGACGTGAAATTGTAAGCCTTTTGCACAAATATCAAGAAAATAATTTTCTTAAAACCTTTTTCTGTAATCACAAACGACTGTGATTGGTCCATCCTGAAGAGCGCTGAGAAAAGTAACAGAAACCACGTTGCAACGTCGTCTACGCAAAGCTGATGTTGTGTAATATTCGGTTCCCGTGAAAAACTGTTCCAATGGGCGGGGTTAGTACGAATATTCATAGATTCGTTCCGCGGTGGGCGTGGCCTTTTGAACTACAAACAAGCGAATGGAAAGGATTGTGTTGTCTGTTCTTCAGCTCTTGTGTGATGAATTATTTTGAAAAGGTAATAAAGCCGAATGTTCATACGCCCCATTTAGATGTACAGCTGTTTATGTTATTCACATAGGCTAAAATGCTTATTGTTTCGCATGTGCGGGCGTATGAACATTCGGCTTTATTACCTTTTCAAAATAATTCATCACACAAGAGCTGAAGAACAGACAACACAATCCTTTCCATTCGCTTGTTTGTAGTTCAAAAGGCCACGCCCACCGCGGAACGAATCTATGAATATTCGTACTAACCCCGCCCATTGGAACAGTTTTTCACGGGAACCGAATATTACACAACATCGGCTCTAACTAAACTCGTTGCTCTTATGTCTTATAAATAATGTTTTATATCTTATAAATCATGTAGAAATGATTGAATTCCATAAACATACCAAGTCCGTCAGTTTCCTGAAGTTGTTTCCGTCTGCCTTGAAGAGGGCAGTTATGACCCAGGTAGAGCTCGGGATCCGGATGCAGCTCTGTGGGCTTTTTATCGACGAAATGAAACGAACACACGTAAACTCTTTTCGGAGGATTTTTTAATTTCAAAGCCGCAAGCCAAGCCTGTTTTCTCTCATCTTTCGACGCCACACAGTGTAAGGCATAGGGCGCAGGGCACGGACATTCATTCCTGATTTTTTGATGTTCTACACAGATATTTTCTTGAAAACTCTTCAGTTTTTTTTGTTGTTGTAGCAACCCGATACAGCCCATGTCGAACCGGAGCTCATGTTAAACTCTGACACCTCAAGTTCACTGTGCGTATGTCAAAAATGATTTTTAGACATACCGGAAGCAGGACACCGGCAAACGGAAATAGGGAGACGTCGTAATGTTTTCCGAAGCACACTTTATATGTATTTTCAGTAGTACAAACATATTACATGTATTTAAAAGATAGTAGAAACGTATAAATAGGGTATTAAAATCCATTTGAAAAGTTTTAGAAGGGTTTTTACAAGTTCTTTACTTAACTTTCATGTCGTTCTTTTAGCTGTGGTTTGGAATTAAACTAAATCTTAGGCTGTTTTTACATGTGGTTTCATAGTACGACAACATCCAAAATGATTTCCCTAGTTTAATTAATTTAATTCCCCATGTTTTATTTTAGCATGAAGTAAAACGGTCATATATATACTGTGGGTAGCCTTCATAAGATGTTATATTGTTATAATAACAACAATAATAATAATAAAAAGAATCCACTGGCCTATAAAATTATGCAGTCAAGCAGGTTTGTGACATCTGTTGGTTGTTTTGAGGTATGACAGCTCATATTTTTATGTACAACCTGATATTTCAGTGTCAAAGGATATATATTATGTTGCATTACAAGATATATAAATTACATTTCCGAAAATAAGTATAACTAATTCAGTTAATAAATAGCAATCAATACTATTTAACTATATCCAACACTTTATATTGATTACTATACAAACGTAGCTGTATTCTAAGATATAATTAGGCCTATATAAATACAATTAAAATGTAACTATGATTAAACATGATTAAACATGCAATTTCATAAGTAACACAAGAGAGATGAGTTAAAATCTTAATTGCAGTTTTCAGTGGTGGACAGTAACGGAGTAGTTTTATTTCGTTACTGTAGCCTACTTAAGTACATTTCTCAAGTATCTGTACTTTACTGGAGTAGTTTTGTTTTGAGTAACTTTTACTTTTACTTCACTACATTCCAAAGCATAAGATCGTACTTTTTACTTCACTACATTTCATAAAACATATCGTTACTCCTTATAATATAGCTATCACGTGCTCTGGGACGCAGAAGCGGTGTCTGATTCAAGAACGAACTGATTCTTTTCAATGAACCTTTTAAATCGGTTCGCAAATCGCACCAAACGATTCATTGACGAATTAGAATGAACCGATTGCAGCTGTTCTCGAGTCGACAACTCACTGATTCAAATGAACCGTTTAGTGCGAGTCTCCAGTGAACTGAATTCACAAGTAAGAACCGAATTACATTAAGGAGCCTATATAAAATTGCATAAAAAATCTAGCTATCAGTACCTTTTTACTTAAGTACATAAAAAATCGAGTACTTTTGTACTTTCACTCGAGTAAAATTGAAAAAGGAATACTTTAACTTTTACTGGAGTAATATTTTATTATACGTATCTGTACTTTTACTCAAGTACTTGATTTGTGTACTTCATCCACCACTGGCAGTTTTAAAGTGAATGGTGACCATTAACCTGGAAATAGATGGCCGTAATAATCTTAAACATCAATTGAAAGGTTCTCTTTTAATGGGATGGTAGTTATTAAAGGATGCCTAAATGCTTGGTTCACATTAGCCTATATATAGGGTGACATATTAATAAAATAAAAGTTTAACAACGAGTCTTTTAATACAAAACAAATCGTCAAACAAGTCAATTAATAAACAATGAAGTAATAAATAATTAAATATATTTATTTTATAATAATTTATATTACTGTAATATGAATCAAATAAATAATACAATATTTCTGTTCATAATAATTAGTACTAATAATTAAAACAGAATTGTTTTTTGGGAATGTGTAATGCGAAAAACATTATGCCATTGGAAACAAGCAAAATGTGCAACCACGATTCCTACTTTAGTTAAGCTATTTATATTTGCTTTAATAAGTCGTAAATTGTAGAGGGGGGGAATCGAAGATACATCAAAGATTTTACTCGGGACGTTTTCTTAAAGAGATGACGTCCTTCTTTCACACCACTAGGGGGAAGCAAAGTGTAAGGTATCCTTACATTGATCAGCAAAGACATAGCAAAGACTCTAATAAATTATTGTAGTTGTAAAAATGCTCATCTAATTTGTAACTAAATCTGAGATCTTACAATATCACAGTTTAAGTAGCCTAATAACCTTAATCGGGTTAGACGCCATTGTGAATTTAACACGGATGAAAACGACGCTGTGAGGGACAGACTTACAGGCTCTAGGAGGGCACGGGACACATTATATGATAGTCAGTTTAGCCATTGCCACTAGGTGGCAGTATAATAAAGTAATTTAAAGGGTTGGCAAAACCCTGATTTTATTCGGGCCTGAACTTGACCTTGACAGAACAATGTATGTGCCCTTTAACTGAAATACATTGTAAAAAATTACAGTGGTGTGTTTATATAACAGAGTTTTGTATTCAACATTCAAGTTTGTTGTAGGGTCAATGTAAGTTAGGCTAAATAAAATCAGCATGATTTTTGATTATAAGGCTGACGACACAAACAAAAAATAAAATAAAATAAATAATATTAATACATTTATTTACTTAATATCGTAATACGTTTATTTACGTAATAATATCTACATTTATACGATTATGATTTTTATCAAAGCAAAATAAAAAAAAATAAAAACATTTGTTTTGTTTAAACAAATATGATAAATATTATTTTATTAAAGCAAAATTAAAAAAAATAAATAAATAAATCTCCAAAATATTTATTATTATTCTTTAGTTCTGCCATCTCCAGATATTGTGAGATTGTGTGTCGAATCGTAAAGTTTATCTTGAATTATTCGTGCCCCTCAGTTGTGAGTGATAGTGCCACATCACCTTCTCCTGACGCCTGTTAATTAATCAGCTCAGTGGGTGGAAGTTGGATGAGAAACTTCCGTCTGTCCTAAACTTCCAAGCTGCTTGTTTTCTTGCCAATCCCGCCGTTTCCACAGAACACAGACGTTGCCATAGGTACCAGGGATGGGTGAAATCTCATTTGCATGTATTTAAATGACGCATAAATCATTTACACAAGGCTTGAATACGGAAAATCTGAGAGACGTTTAGAAGTCACGCTGAGCTTCAGGCTAGTAGTACAAAGAGAGAAAACGGTTAAAAAAGAAAAACACTTTACGGCTTCCTGGTTAAATCAAATGCGGCACTGTGTGTTATATGTGAGCGACGGCCCATTATTTGGCAGCTTCACAAGCATCCATTCACTAGAACCTTCCATAAATTGTCGCCACATTAAACTTCCAAACTGCTTGTTTTCTTGCCAATCCCGCCGTTTCCACAGAACACAGACGTTGCCATAGGTACCAGGGAGGGGTGAAATCTCATTTGCATGTATTTAAATGACGCATAAATCATTTACACAAGGCTTGAATACGGAAAATCTGAGAGACGTTTAGAAGTCACGCTGAGCTTCAGGCTAGTAGTACAAAGAGAGAAAACGGTTAAAAAAGAAAAACACTTTACGGCTTCCTGGTTAAATCAAATGCGGCACTGTGTGTTATATGTGAGCGACGGCCCATTATTTGGCAGCTTCACAAGCATCCATTCACTAGAACCTTCCATAAATTGTCGCCACATTAAAATGCCCCGCACGACATTATGGAAAGGCATGAATAGCCTTGTAAAAAAGGCGGGGGGGGGGACAAAAACAAAAAATCAAAAACATACATAAGACAAGTGTCATTTTCAGATGAAAACAATCTCGTTTTACACGGCCCGCTTTTTCACGCTTAGCCGCTAACCTGCATCTACCCCTGTTTTCGCCTTTCCCGCGTTTCTACAGTCTTGTTAATTTTATATGAAAGAGCATATTGCCACTTACCAGCGGGTAGTGCAGTAAAAGCGTTTAGTGTCAAAGCATGAACCGTGATTGGTTCTTCCATTAGAAGAAGCGTGCAGCCTGGCTTTCTTCTCAGCCAATCAGATGCGCTCACCATACCATTGTTCCAAATGTTGGTGGTCTGCATTCTCTTATAAGACTCCCCCTTATGATTTGACAATAAATGACACATAATTGAAGCTCCTAATAGAGTGACCCTTCCTCTACAATTTCAAGATTACAGACTACTAGACTCCAGAAAAATGCACCTCTGTTTGATTCAAACACGCCATTGGATGTATTAACAAGCTACAGAAAGAATAAATTCACAAATAAACTGGTTTGGTTAAACCGAATAAAAGCAAAAAACAAGAATAGGGGTTTACTTATAAATTGATGCTGCTAGTAGAAACTGTTCCCTGAACCTAAAATGTAGGCTAATCATGGCATTTAAATAGCCTACCAAAATATCTGATATTTTCAAGTTCAACTGCAGGCTTTCAGATTAAAATAAATGAATCAATCGTAGGTTACATAATTAAATCGTTATAATTTTGTAAAACATAAAACACATTCTTGTCGGTCCTGACTTCTGATTGGTCAATGATGTGAAACACTTCCGCCGCATCAAATCGCTAGTTTGACGCAACGTTCTATTTGGTCAGGGACTATTTTTTGTAGCGGAGGAAAGCCATTTCATTTATAAATAATGAAATAACGTTTTAATAAAAATAGTGTACTTCATATTTTATTAGAATACTTAATTTGTATTTTTATTAACGTGTTATTTTGCATTTAAGATACTCAGGCCTGCTGAAAATTAATAGTGTAAATAGCGACTCACTGTAGCCGCGAATAATCGCGATATAGCCTAGCTATAGCTAATGCGGCCTTCATATTTGAGGAAAATTAATTTATACATTAACTAGCAATGATGCTGCATTATTCCACTTGTAAATACTAAAACGAGTTACTAATACGTATCCACACATATTATTAACTAGCGAGGTAGAGTTTGTCATAAATATGCATTGAGTGCATTGAGAAGAGGGCTATACGGTGACATGTAGCCTATGTATATGAACCTCGGGGGTGCGGGGTCTGACTGGTTTTGCATTAAAAAAGAGGAGGTCCTGTGAAAGTTCTGCTCCCT